CCAGACTGGCTCGTTGACGTGGGACCAGTCGAAGGTGTTCTCGGCTCTTGACCGCGGAGGTGTTATTCGCATCTCGAAACGGTCTCGTGCTGATAGTACGGGCGGAGACGACCGACGTAAAACGTAGGATGCGTACGCATCTTACGGGGCAGTTCAATCGTGTACGCGTTGCCCATTCGGCGCAATACACGAAATGGACCGATGTACTTGGGCAGTAATTTACTGCTGCCCACGTTTGATACTGCGTGTTTCGGTAGATTTACTATAGACAGTAAATCTAGGTTTCCTTCATCGAATGTAAGAACATTTGCTCTTCCATAATGTCTGCGTTTCTTTTCTGTATGTCTATTGCGTCTGCAATAGAATCTTGAACGAAGCGGACAACCGCTTCGCGAGTCAGCAGAAATTCCTCTGCTGATTCATCCTATTCAACAGCAGTGCGCTTCGTGTGCACTGCTGAAAGAACGTTTTCTTCACCAGTGAGGGTGTCATTGTCCTCACTTTGGCAGTCATTGGAGATGCTGAATATGCCAGCATCGTCGTCATCATCATCATCGATATCGATCGCATCGACATCGGCATCCATCACGTCGACACCATTGTCGACGGGTGATGAGCAAGAACCAGATCGGCTATAGTTCGAGCGAGTCCACCCCCCTTAAACTAGAGTCACACTCTAAGAAGGCGGGTAAACGTGGATGGCGTAGGCCATTCAAGAAGAACGGTGTATGCGTTGTCGACGCGTGCACCGAGTTGTTGATGGCGAATTCCGCCATCGTCAAGAACTCACTCCAGCTCGTAAACGAGTGGACACACCCTCGAAGTATCTCTTCGAGGACGCGGTTGACGCGTTCCGTCTGACCATCTGTTTCGGGATGGTCAGAAGTTGACATCGTCAAACTTGTTCCAAGTGAACGGAACACGAATTTCCAGAACTCCGCTGTGAAGCGGGGGTCCCTATCGGAAACGAGTTCACGGGGTAACCCGTGAAGTCGGAAGGTAGTATCGACGAAGACACGTGCACATCCCTGGGCTGTGATTGACTCCGGTACAGCAACAAGATGTACCTTCTTGCTGAACCAATCAACAAACACAAGAATATCAGTTTTCTTGTGAGCGTCTTTGGGAAACCAAAAGACGAAGTCCATCGATACTGACTGCCAGTATTCTACCGGAATCGGTTGAGGCTACAAGGATGCGCGGGATGAAGGACTAGGCTTCTCCCGTTGACAAACTTCGCAAGCGCGAATGTATTTGCGCACAAACTCATACTGGCGGGGCTAGTAGAAGTCACGACTCGCCATGAGGTAAGTCTTTTCTCTACCGCGATGCCCACTTGTTGGGGCATCGTGACACTCATACATGATGCGCAGTCGCAAATTATCATGAGCTGGAACGACGACACGAGGTGTGTCTCCGTTGACTGCTGTATCGTACAGCAGTCCATCACAAACAGAATACGGTTCGGTTGAAGAGCGGTATTGAGACGTCAGGATTTTCGAAGCTTGACTGCACGGATTGGCTACGTAATCCATCAATCGCAGAAGAGACTCATCTTCTGCGTATGCTCTTTGCACGTCGTCGAGCAGAATCGACGATGGAACACTCACTGTTAGTGTCGCTATAGAGGGATCACCCCTGCTGTTGTACTGAAAAGTCGGCTAGAAATCGGGCCGGCGCGAAAGGGCATCAGCGACGAAACTAGGTCGTACTGGTTTGTACTCTACGAAGAAGTTGTACTCCGCGAAGAAAGACAGCCACCTCGCACTTTGTTGCGAGAGGTGTGGCCTGTTTACGGCCGTGCGTAATGGCGCTTGGTCAGTATAAACGATGAACGGCCTATCTCCTAAGAGATATACCCGAAACTTGGCCAGTTCATATTTCATGGCAAGGATTTACTTGTCAGGCACCGGATAATTACGCTCAGCTGCTTGCAGCTGACGCGATCGATTACAGACGACGCGCTCAACGCCGTCTGAGTCGTACTGCATTAACGCGCAGCCTATTGCAAAATCGCTGGTAACGACATAGTACGTGGAATGATCCGGCTTGGTCTGCAATCGTCAACACACGCGATTGTGTCAATCTTTTCTTGATACCTTCATAGGAGTGCTGACACTCTGCACTCCATGACCACCTCTCTCTTTTCTTTAGCAGACGAGAGAGATGTACGGTCATCTCGGCATAGTTGCGCGAGTATTTGTGCAAGTACGCTGCCAAGCCAAGGAACTTTCGAAGTCCCTTGACTTCGACTGGCACAGGCCAGTCTCTTAGCGCCTTGATCTTTTCCGGATCAGGGCGTACGCTTATTTTACCCACGGTGCAGCCAAGAAGTGGTATTTCGTTCGCTGCGAAATACACTTCTTGAGGCTAGCGAACAACTTATGCTCTCGCATTAGAGTAAGAGCTTTCCGGACGTGGATTCTATGAACCTCCACGTCCGTCTTTCCATCCGCGGCCCGTCTATTAACGAAGCCATCGTCGAAGTAGTTATGTGCGGAATCGTGCACCAATCGCAACAGGTTCGTAACACATCTGTTAAACGTTGCGGGGGCGTTACTTAGCCCCTATGTAATTACTAGCCACTCCCAGAGAATTCCGCTGGGGGTACTCACTGCTGTTTACGGGATGTCCCATTCACGCATGAGGATCTGATAGATTTCATCCATCAAATCCATGGACGAAAAGTTGGTACTCTTTGCCATACCATCTATGATGACGTCCTTTCTTGGGATCGGCGTTTGATCCGGTACCGTTGCAGCGTTCAGTTTGTTGAACGCGTGCACTATCCGCCACCCTCCTGTGGCCTTTCGCACACAGATAGTCGGAGAGCTGTGTGGGGATGTTGATTACCTCACATGACCAGCCGCTAAACGATCGGCAAAGAATCTGTCGATCGCTGTGACCTGTTCAAGAGGCAGTGGCTACTGCTTCATGACACAGTATTTCGAACCAGGTTTCATTTCGATCTCATATCAAGTGCCTTTGTGCTTAGGCAGCTCGCATGGTATGGATTCCGGGAAAACATCCCTGAATTTAACCAAATCCTTAAACAAAGGATTTGTCTTCAAAGACTCCCAAGATTGAGACAGGTACCGCTCAATCCGGTTTCTTAAACGAGGACACTCTCATCCATCGATGAGCTAGTTTGAACCCGTTAGTTCTCAGTAAACACTTGTGCCGACCGAATATCGGCGACGTAATCGTCCTCTGTGACGAGTACGCAGATCTGCTTGATCTCGTCACTACGCAGATCTCGCAAGAATCTTTTAGATTCCAGCGTTGCAACTTACCTTCAAAGCTGATTTCGGGGGTGTAACCAGATCAAGTCTATAAGCGCCTACATTTGATCCGTCATTTACCAAGACATTCACTGACTCGGTGCTTTCCTGGGAAAACACATCCGCAGGTGGTTGGGGATCCACACCCTCAACATAACTTTCTCGGAGTTATCACTCTCAGGAACGCTGGATTTTTCTTCCGTTACGCGTACTATAACGGTCACGTCCTCTTTGATCGACTCCCTTTCAGTCAAGCGGGCTTGCTCTACGATCGACTCTCTGCTAGTCGATCTCGCTTCAACGTGTTGTCCATCCTGAACAACACTCATCTCTCTTCTTGGATGTACCCTTCTTGGTGTGCACCCATGTTCCAGTCCACTCGATCTTTTTGAGCGGTGAGCCTTCGGTGCAGCCTGTGTCTTTACACAGGTGCCGGAAGCTGGTTCCACAGTGTAGTGGCCTTCTACGCTGCGATCTTGGGCAATCGTACTAACGACAGTACCACAAGTGAGGCCATCGCACTCAATCTTAATACATCCACACGCTTGTGGACGCTCCAAGACGTTCATCAGATGGCCATCCGATGAACAAACGGCAGGCATCTTCACGGATCGATGCTACCAGCTAACCCATGGCTGGTACTTTCTAAGCCATGGCGGACCGAGGATGACATCAAATTTGTCATCCAAATCTAACACGATGAAGTCACCATCGTACTGCTTTCTTTCTAGCGTGTAGTGGATTCCCACTACACGTTTGTTCACTGTTGCGCGTGCGCATGTAGCAAAGCACACCGTCATCCTTGTTGGAGGGATCTCTCGCTCAACATAGTTGAGTATACTATGTTAGCGACTGGGGTCGAATAAAAATGTTTAATGCCCCACAGTCACCTAGGGCACGATTTAACATTCTACTTGTCACTTCGATCTTCAAAGTGATGAGAGACTCCTCTTCACTAGGGACAGTAACACACAGAGATTGCGTGTTGTGGGCAATCTTCTTCAAGAGTGCTGCAATTTGTTTTAATGTTGCTGGCTCAGCAGGGTGCACCGCCCCTACTGACCCTGACCGTTTTTCGGCAGTCCGACTTGCGTCGCGGTTTAGTGACATGGTCGGACCCGCGCCTTGAACCTCTTCTTGGCCAACGGTGGTCATCACGTCCTGTCTTTGGACGTGATGCGGTGCTTGGGACTCTACACTCATGAGCGTAGTGTCCGATCTTCTGACAGCGATGTCATCTTGCCTTTCGCTTGTGACTCAGAGAGTGAGAGTTCTCACTCTAGATGTAACAGATGTCCATTGGTTCGGGACCTACTGTTTCCTGTCGTCTTGTCGGACGATTGTTGATGAGTTAGCCTGGGACTGTCTCAGGATAATGACCTCTTGTTCCGCATACGCTATCACCTTTTCCAGCGTATGGAAGTCCTCTCGAAACATGTAGGTCTTTACCGGTCCATCTACAAAGCCGTAGATGAACACGTTGATGGGCGCGTGCTCATCAAAAGGGTTTTCCGTGACGCTACTCGCAAGGTAGCGTAGATATTGTGCGTAAGCATGCACATCACGCTTACCTTGCTTTAGCCTCAAGAGTGCAGAGCGTGCTCTGAAATCAGCTCTCGGCGGCTCAAACGTCTCTTTGAGCCGAGCCTTCAAGATCTCTAACGATTCAAATAAGTTTGGGTCGTGAAGCTTGAGCCCTAAGGCCCAAGTCTTTGCGCGTTATGTCAAGTTTGACGGGGCGAAGGTGACTTGCATCTCGTCACCCATGATGTGACGGGCCCTGATGGCATAGTCTAACTCGACGAACCATCTCAAAAAGGAACCTCCATCGGTTTCCATGTACCTTGAGACTTCTATCTTCAAGGTTCCGGGTCGACGCGTGTGCGTTGGCTCGCTCATAGACTGATGAGAGTCTTGCTGGTGAAGCAAGGCTATCTTCTGTCGTTCGACGGCAAGTTCCTCTTGTAGTAACTTGTTGATAGCAGTATGTTGCTGGTCTCTGCTTAGAGACTCCAACATGCTACTAATGGCGGGTTCGCCCGTGAGCACAATCTTGCGACCGACTACCTCCCATTCTGAGTCACTCAGATGGGAGTAGCCCTCACGTGTGACGTGAAAGCTGTCGTCTTCTACGTCCAACATGTTCATGTTGGACGGACACTAAGTAGTCTTTGGACGGATTACGAAGTGCTACCAGGTGCAAAGGTGCACCCTTTGTTTGGGGTGCCACGAAACTTCACGTACACTCGTGCATGAAGAGGAAAATAATCTACCCAAACAACTAGCTTGAGTAAAAGGTTAAAAGAGAACTGTATTTAACATAGTTAAGCTATCAATATAAATTTAATCTTTATCTAACTATCTTAAACCACGTCGTCGTATGACGACAACCTGCTCACCACTCATTGCGCGCGTCTAGCAGCAATTGGTGGCAATCTATGGTTGATATGTCTTGTATCAACCAATCTTGGAGCAGCGCATGAATATTATTTAAAGGAAATATTCCTCCTTCAATATTATCCATCTCGGGTAATATTGGCAGAAGATTGTCACGATAGAAAATCTCCCTACGGACACTAAGTAGTTCTTCTATCATGTAACGGGCTACCCGTTACAACGCGGAGAGACGGACGCCACGTCGGGACGAAAAGGATGTCAAGCCAGCGGTACCAGGCGATGTATACGACATGTGGGATCGGCACTTCATGACACACAGAGTGGACGTGCGCGATCTGCAACTTCACCAGGTCGAGTTGCAGTGTCGATGAAAAGACATGTAGGGTAGTGTATACAAACGAAGTAAACACTAAATTTATGACTTTTACTTTTAGTTACCTTGCAGAAGCGCAAGAAACACAACTCTCTTTTAAAGACGCTCGATGATTGTACTTAAACCACAATGACTATTAAAAACCCAGCATTATGACCAGTAAGTAAGCTCTGATGTCGTTTGAGGCTATCAAGGAGCAATGTGGCCTTCATGAAGCAAAGGAGCCATTTAATGGTCATGCTTACCGGACTGTGCCGCTGTGTAGAGCACAGTGCAAGATCGCAATGGAAAATCTACAACACGATTTACGTTGTCCTTGGGCGGACTGGAGATATAAGAGGTCGTTTGGTGCTAAAAAAATTCGGATGAAGTGCATATAAAAACACGCTACACTACAGATAGTGTAGCGTGTTTTTATATGCACTTCATCCGAATTTTTTTTAGCAAGTCAGCTCAGCATTTGAGCGCACAATCTCACCTGGCTGTGAAGTTGTGTAGATTGTTTAGCCGCAAATACACCGCAGCAATTACGGTTTATTCAAGATTGGGAAGCAAGCTCTTGAGCTCGCCCCTTGATATCAGTAATTCACTTTGGAGAAATAAATTAAGATGCAAAATACTATTTGAAAGCAGTTGATATCAGAGCTGGCACGACGTGTTTTTTTACACTCGAGTTATAATGGTTTAAATTAAAACCCGACAGCCTAAGATCTTTCAATATCTGGTTTATTAGATTGTATTCCCCGATAATTGAATAATTCACTATGATCCGGCTGGTCGCCCATCCTTAAAACTACAAAAAAGACAACAGACAACAGACATTGTCAACCTCTATGTAACGGGGCACCCTGAAGCTTGTACTGATGACAGTACAAGCTACTTATTCTGATGACAGAATAAGGCGGTGCCTCGTAACTTCACGTACACTCGTACGTGCAGAGGAAGACGGTAAGAAGAAGCGAGTACTTGGTTAAAGTAAAAAGTAGAACTGTATTTATAATAGTTAATGTCTGCAATAAATCACTATTTATCTTCATCTAACTATGTCTAAATACAAATGTGTCAATCAGTTATCTGCTCACCACTCAATGCGTGCGTCTGTCGTGGCGCGTCTTCGTTGGTTGATATAATGGCCTATATCAACCAATTAGGAACTACTCGTAAGTGCTACAGAATATTTGTCCTTATGATAATATTCTGAGAATATAACTCTTATAGTTATATTCTATTAACAATTTCTTATAAATTGTTATGTAACGATTCACCCCGTTACATCACCCCCCCCCTTAACCATCAGTCACTTTAGTGACTGATTGACTAAATGGATACTCGTCCCAAATCATTTGGGACAGGGTTTGCACTTGTTGGTTCGAGTCCACTCTCCAACATTTCATCGCATGGTTAACAAGCCCATGCGATGCGCGAGCAAAGCCGCCGAGAGCGCGTCCGCACGTCTCTGTGCGGACGCCGAAGCAGAAACCACAGCAACTGATGTCTCATCGGTTGCTGAAGCGACTCAGCCTGTGTCACTTGGTGATACAGGCGCTGGTCATGAAGACACTCATGTCTTCACAGAGTATGAGCTCGGTGTCTCATACTCTCCTGATACGGAAGACGGATCCGTATCGACGGCGATCGAATCAAAGCCGCCTGCCAAGCGTGGCATGGATGATGCTATGCGTCGTAGCATCTTTGGTTCATCTGATGAATCAGATGAACCCAGCCGAAGCGAAGGCGCTCGAGGTCGCAAGACTTGGGCGCTAACAGTGGTGTCGGTTCTCCGATTAACACCACTTCGCAACAAAGTGCCAGTACTTCTGTCGGCACGTTGCAAGAAGAGCGGGACCGCAATGTGTTGCGTCTCGCTCCTGAAAAGAAGGCATGGATGCCTCCAAAGTCAGTCATGGATCACTTGTCGGCGACGACGAGTGATCATTATCGAACACGGTTGTTCGATTCGTCAAGGATCCATCACCTTGACCCCAGCGCGAAAGACTATCGCGCTGAACATGAATTCTTCATCGATGCTTTCTTCAAACATCGATGGTACAGTGGGAATCACAAACGTGATGGTCCCTCACTGCTTCAAGCGTGGAACGCCTACATCCATAACCTCGAGGATGTAGGTCGTGACGCTTGGAACGACAAACTTATCAAAGCTCGTGATAAGTTTGAAAAGCGAACCCCAACAGGTGCACGCTATAAGCTGCATCGTCTGTCAAGGGAGAAAGGATTACCCTGCCTCTCTTGGGGGGACTCGTGCCCATGTTGTGTGAACAACTCTGCACGAGCACCTAAGGAGGCTTACCTCCTTACTAGCCCGTGGTGGCGCGTACGTGTCTCTACTGAGATGTACGAAGGGATTGACAACCTGAAATCCCTTTACGACCGTGCCGGGAAGACTTTCTCCGGCGGTCCTTCTGCGGCACAGGATGTGTCGCGTCGTACTGCTCGACCAGACCCAGTACGTCAACCATCAATTGGGAGCGGGGCTCCCAAGAATCCCAGGACGGGGGATAGCCGCGCCACCGGACGAGGTAACTCGTCCGACGTCCGTTCACGTCGCGGTGGTTCAACAGCTGCTCAACTAGATAGCGCTGGCCACCGCGAGAGTCCTCTAATGGAGGTGGAGGAGGAGGAAAGACGCTCTCCACACGATCATGTGGATCGGTGTGTTCCCGAGAGCTTCTTTGATCGCGTAACGCAAGGGTTACGCGACGATCTCGAGCATGAGCGGAATAGGCGTCTCCAGATGGTGGACACTGCCTCGAAGCATCGAGCTGAGTTTGCCTTTGCTCAGCTTGAGAACGAGAGATCTCTGACATCTCTTCGTGACGAGCTAAGGGTAGCTCGTGGGATTGTTGATCGGTCTCGGGCTGAGATAACTGCTCTTCAGACCCTTGTTGATGCCCACCATCGGGAGCACAAGGCTCTCTGCGAGATGCTTGAGCGCAAGGGCGTTCTTCATCGGAAGAAGCAGCGTACTGATGGTACGGCTTAAGCCGACCAACGTAAAACGTGGGATGCTTTCGCATCTTACGTGGCAGTTCGATTCTGTGTGCATTGCCTAGGCGATGCAATACACGAAATGGGCCGATGTACTTGGGTAGTAGTTTACTGCTACCCAAGTTAGTCACTACATGTCGTGGTAGATTAACCGTAGACAGTAGGACTAAGTCACCTTTATTAAATAAAAGAGTGTTTGCCCTTCCATTCTTGTCTGCGTTTTGCTTTTGCTTATCCACCGCTTCGGCGATGGAGTCTTGCACAAAACGGACTACCGTTTCACGAGCCAGTATGAACTCATCTGATGACTCGTTAGCTTCAGTGCGCTGTGAGCGCACTGCAGCAACATCAACCTTTTCTTCAGTGAGGGCTTCCGCACTCTCACTGGCATCATCTTCTTCGATATCGATGTTATCGATATCGGCATCAAACGCAATGACCTCTTCGTCAGAGCGTGATGAGCGTGATCCAAATCGGTTTTTGCTCGCGCGAGTGCCCCCCCTTAAACCAGAGTTACACTCTAGTAAGGTGGGTACACGCGGATGGCGTAAGCCATTCACGTAAAACGGTGTATGGGTCGTGGAAGCATGCACCGAGCTGTTAATGGCAAAATCTACCATTGGCAAAAACTCACTCCAACTCTTAAAGGAGTGTACGTATCCTCGAAGTATCTCTTTTAGGACACGATTGGCTCGTTCCGTCCGACCATCTGACTCTGGATGATCAGATGTCGACATCTTCAAGCGCGTTCCGAGTGATTTGAACACGGAACGCCAGAAATCAGCAGTGAAGCGTGGATCTCTGTCTGATACGAGTGCACGGGGCAACCCATGAACTCGGAAGATGGTGTCGATAAAGACACAAGCACAGCCACTTGCCGCGATTTACTCTGGTACAGCCACAAGGTGTACCATTTTGCTGAATCTGTCAACAAATACGAGAATACCCGTATTCCCGCGTGCGTCTTTGGGTAACCCGAAGACAAAATCCATTGAGATGGATTCCTAGCACTCAGCCGGAACCGGTAGAGGCTGTAAAGGTGCACGCAGTGAAGGACTTGACTTCACTCGTTGGCAGACTTCGCATGCGCGAACATACTTTCGCACAAACTGATACTGGCGGGGCCAGTAAAAGTCTCGACTCACCGTGAGATATGTTTTCTCCCGGCCACGATGTCCTCCTATAGGAGCATCGTGATACTCAAACATGATCCGCAAACGCAGATCAGTATCATCTGGAATGACAACACGTGGTGTGTCACCAGAAACGGCTGTATAATACAGTAACCCGTTGCGAGTAGTGTATCGATCTGATGCAGATCGATACACAGACGACAATCTTTTCGACGATTCTCGAGATGGCTGTGAGAGATGTGTCAACAACTCACAATCCCACCATCTTGGGCATACCCCCGCCTCACATCATCATGCAACGTTGTAGATAGGACTGAGGACGTCATAACCGCAACAGTGACTGTCTCACTGTTGGGTTTCACGACTGGTTCAAAGTCGGGACGACGTGAGAGTGCATCAGCGACGACGTTAAGTCGTCCTGGCTTGTACTCAACCGTAAAGTTGTATTCTGCAAAGAATGACAACCACCGCGCCATTCGTTGTGAAAGGTGCGGGCTGTTTACTGCCGTGCGTAATGACGCATGGTCAGTGTAAACAATGAAGGGTCTATCTCCTAATAGATAGACTCTGAACTTCGCGAGTGCGTACTTCATGGAAAGGAGTTCCTTGTCATGCACTGGATAGTTCCGCTCAGCTGGTTGCAGCTGACGCGACTGATAGCAGACGACACGTTCAACGCCTTCAAGATCGTACTGCATTAATGCACAGCCGATTGCAAAATCGCTGCATCACAGACCACATGAAATGGCCTGTCCTGATCGGCAATCGCTAGGACTGGGGATTGTATCAAGCTCTTCTTGATACCCTCAAAGGAGCGCTGACATTCAGCGTTCCATAACCACCTCTCGTTGTTTTTCAACAAACGAGAGAGGTGCACAGTCATCTCGGCGTAATTGCGTGAATACTGATGCAAATACGCCGCTAGCCCAAGGAATTTTCGAAGTCCTTTGACGTCGACTGGCACAGGCCAGTCGGTGATCGCCTTGATCTTTTCGGGATCAGGACGTACACCGTTCTTACCAACGATGCACCCAAGAAGTGGTATTTCGCTTGCTGCAAATATACACTTCTTGAGGTTTGCATACAATTGATGCTTTCGCATGATTGTAAGAACCTGTCGGACGTGGTACCTGTGAACCTCAACGTCCGACTTTCCATCCATAGCCCGACTATGGATGAATACGTCATCGAAATAACTCGGTGCGAATTCTCGTACTGGTCTCAACAGATGTGATACACATCTGTTGAACGTGGCAGGGGCATTACTGAGCCCTTGTGGCATTACTAGCCATTCCCAGAGCATGCCGCTAGGTGTGCTAACTGCGGTATAGGGTATATCCCGTTCCCGCATAAGGATTTGATAGAAGCCATCCATCAAATCCATGGACGAAAAGATGGTACTCTTTGCCATACCATCTATGATGAAGTCCTTCCTCGGTATCGGCGTCTGAGCCGGTACCGTTGCAGCATTCAACTTATTGAATGCATGCACTATCCGCCACCCTCCTGTTGCTTTTCGCACACAGAAGGTCGGAGAGCTATGTGGGGAAGTTGATTCCATCACATGGCCCGCAGCTAAACGATCGGCAAAGAACTTGTCGATCGCAAGTACTTGCTCACGAGGCAGTGGCCACTGCTTCATGACACAGTACTTCGAGCCTGGTTTAAGCTCGACCTCGTGTCGAATACCTTTATCCTTCGGTAATTCGCACGGAACAGTTTCAGGGAATACATCCTTGAATTCAACCAAATCTTCATAGAGAGGATTTTTCTTGAGCGATTCCCATGATTGGGAGTCATATCGCTCAATTCGTGTCTTTTCATCTAGGACACTTTCGTCCATAGATGAACTACTGAGAACTCTCTCGTTCTCAGTGAACACTGTTGCTGACCTTATGTCGGTTACACACTCATCGTCAGCGACGAGTATGCAGATCTGCTTGACTTTGCCACTACGCAGATCACACAAGAACCTTTTATGTTCGAGCGTTGGCAACTGAGTGATCTCCGAAGTTAACTTCGGAGGCGCAATCAGATCAAGTGTATAAGCGCCTACACATGATCCGTTATTGACTATGACATTCAATGTCTCTGTCATTTCCTGGGGACTTATTCCCTCAGGCTTCGAAGGACTTATTCCTTCGGCTTCCCGGGGACTTATTCCCTCGGGTTTCGAGGAACTTATTTCCGCCGTATTTGTATTATCGGGACTTATTCCCTTTACTTTCCTCTAGCTGGGGTTGCGCAACCACAGCGAGATCCTCTACGAAAGACTCTCCAGTCGATCTAGGATTATCGTTTCGCTTAACCTGAGCGATCGATTGTTTCTCTTCTAGATGTTCCCCGCTAGGGATACATCTTTGTCCCGGTCCACTCGACTTATTCGAGTGGTGGACCTTCGGCGCAGCCTGTGTTTCCTCACAGCCGCCGGAACTTTGCTCCGAAGTGTAACCGTTTGTTACACTAAGGTTTTGTGCAGTCGTACTAACGACCGTACCACAAGTGAGGCCATCGCACTCACTCGTAGTACATCCACACGCTTGTGGACGTTTCCAAAACGTTCATCAGATGGCCATCTGATGAACAAGCGGCAGGCATCGTTACTGTTCGATGTTGCCAGTTTACCCGTGGTTCGTACCTTCTGAGCCACGGTATTCCAAGGATGACATCAAATTTGTCATCCAAATCCAATACGATAAAGTCATCGTCGTATTGGGTATCTTCTAGCGTATAGTGGATCTTCACTATACGCTTCATGACGGTTACGGATGCGCCTGTCGCAAGACGTACCGTCATCCTCGTAGGAGGTGTGTCACATTCACTGAATTGAAAGTGACCATCTTATAGCGATTGGCGTCGCACAAAATTATTGGACGCCCCACAATCGACTAGAGCTCGAAGAGACAACTTATTCGTCACTTCGAGTTTCAAGGTAATGAGTGAGTCCTCATTACCCAGAGCAGCAACGCACAACGTTTTTGCGTTGGGAGCAACCTTCATTAAGAGGCCTACAAATTCTCTTGACGTTGCTGGACCAGTAGATTGCTCCGCACCTACTGATCCTGTCCGTTTTTTGACGGTCCATCCCGTTGTTGCGTCTTTGCACCAACAGCGGACCCGCGTCCCTGCCCCTTTCTCTTGGGTGGACGGTCACTACGACCAGTGTCGCGAGACACTGGACGAGGGGCACTACACTCGTAAGCGTAGTGTCCTGTCTTTTGACATCTGTTGCATCTCTGCAACTTCTTGTAGCCTGTAGAGCGAGCCTTCTCGCTCTCTACATAGCAGAGTTCCATCGGCTCTGGACCTTCGTTGTCATATCGTCTCGGTTGACGATATGATGTCGAGCTGGCGCGAGCCTGTCTCAGACTGAAGTCTTCCTGTTCCGCAATGGAAATGGCTTGTTCTAGTGAATCTAGTTCAAGCCGGAACAGGTGAGTCTTGACGGGACCATCCGCAAGACCCTGCATGAACACCGAAACCAACGTGTGTTCATCCACCGGATTGGAACTTATACAACTCGTGAGATGTCGTATATGTTGCGCGTAAGCGTGCACATCACGCTTACCCTGCTTGAGCTTCAAGAGATCGGTTCGAGCTATGAACTCAGCTCTAGGCGGTTCAAACGTTTGTCTGAGCCGCGACTTGAAGACTTCCAACGACCCAAACGCATATGGGTCGTGCAACTTGAGCCCCAGTGCCCAAGTCTTGGCACGTCCTGCCAGATTTGACTGGGCAAATGCAACTTGCATTTCCCCATCGTCGATGCGACGCGCCCTTATGGCGTCATCCAATTCGACGAACCATCTCAAGAGGGAGTCCTCTTCGACTCCCCTATACTTGGAGATGTCAATCTTCAAGGTCTCGGGTCGACGCGAATGCATCGACCCACCAGCAGCAGCCTGCTGCTGTCTTAACAGTTCAAACTGTTGAGCACCCTGTTCTCTCGACAACTACGCTTGTTGAGAACCTTGTTGGTGAAGCAAGGCTACTTTCTCGCGTTCAGCGTCAAGTTCATTTTGAATGAACTTGGCGATAGTAGCATGTTGGGCATCTCTATCGAGAGCCTCTAGCATGACGCTAACAGCATGGATGCCCATTATTGAACCCATACGTTCAACCGCATCCCATTCGACATTGCTCAAATGGGAGTAGCCGTCACGCGTAGCGTGAAAGCTTTGGTCATCTTCATCATCTAACATATTCATGTTGGGTGTGAACGTGGTCCTTGGACGGACTACGAAGTGCTACCAGGTGTAACGGGGCACCCTGAAGCTTGTACTGATGACAGTACAAGCTACTTATTCTGATGACAGAATAAGGCGGTGCCTCGTAACTTCACGTACACTCGTACGTGCAGAGGAAGACGGTAAGAAGAAGCGAGTACTTGGTTAAAGTAAAAAGTAGAACTGTATTTATAATAGTTAATGTCTGCAATAAATCACTATTTATCTTCATCTAACTATGTCTAAATACAAATGTGTCAATCAGTTATCTGCTCACCACTCAATGCGTGCGTCTGTCGTGGCGCGTCTTCGTTGGTTGATATAATGGCCTATATCAACCAATTAGGAACTACTCGTAAGTGCTACAGAATATTTGTCCTTATGATAATATTCTGAGAATATAACTCTTATAGTTATATTCTATTAACAATTTCTTATAAATTGTTATGTAACGATTCACCCCGTTACACTCTAGCTGTACGTACTACTATGTCACCATCGTCTTTTCTTTTCTTTAAGCCAGTTTGACGAGCATGTCAATCACTTCAATGACGGCATTCTCGATCTTCAGTAGCGAGACGCGCAGGTCGCCATGTTGGACTTCAGAATGGTCATTTATGATGATCTTTACATATAGGTCCAACGCCGGAACGGATGCGTGGTCACTCTCCTAGCACAGTTTGGAATTGGTCTACCGATGATGCGTCTCCATAAAATACTAAGATTTTCGAATTCATGCACAAAGAAGACTCTGATTAATCACCATAAAAAGCGAAAGTACCAAGTAACACCTCAGCTAATGTGATCCATCGTAGTGGGACTATCGAGGGGCAACGCTGACATCTGTATGCCGCCCAGGTTTATGATTCCTGTGGACGACTAGCACCGCGAAACATTCGATGAAACACCAGCGCAGACCATTTAAAACAGGGTTGCCCGTTACATGATAGAAGAACTACTTAGTGTCCGTAGGGAGATTTTCTATCGTGACAATCTTCTGCCAATATTACCCGAGATGGATAATATTGAAGGAGGAATATTTCCTTTAAATAATATTCATGCGCTGCTCCAAGATTGGTTGATACAAGACATATCAACCATAGATTGCCACCAATTGCTGCTAGACGCGCGCAATGAGTGGTGAGCAGGTTGTCGTCATACGACGACGTGGTTTAAGATAGTTAGATAAAGATTAAATTTATATTGATAGCTTAACTATGTTAAATACAGTTCTCTTTTAACCTTTTACTCAAGCTAGTTGTTTGGGTAGATTATTTTCCTCTTCATGCACGAGTGTATGTGAAGTTTCGTGGCACCCCAAACAAAGGGTGCACCTTTGCACCTGGTAGCACTTCGTAATCCGTCCAAAGACTACTTAGTGTCCGTCCAACATGAACATGTTGGACGTAGAAGACGACAGCTTTCACGTCACACGTGAGGGCTACTCCCATCTGAGTGACTCAGAATGGGAGGTAGTCGGTCGCAAGATTGTGCTCACGGGCGAACCCGCCATTAGTAGCATGTTGGAGTCTCTAAGCAGAGACCAGCAACATGCTGCTATCAACAAGTTACTACAAGAGGAACTTGCCGTCGAACGACAGAAGATAGCCTTGCTTCACCAGCAAGACTCTCATCAGTCTATGAGCGAGCCAACGCACACGCGTCGACCCGGAACCTTGAAGATAGAAGTCTCAAGGTACATGGAAACCGATGGAGGTTCCTTTTTGAGATGGTTCGTCGAGTTAGACTATGCCATCAGGGCCCGTCACATCATGGGTGACGAGATGCAAGTCACCTTCGCCCCGTCAAACTTGACATAACGAGCAAAGACTTGGGCCTTAGGGCTCAAGCTTCACGACCCAAACTTATTTGAATCGTTAGAGATCTTGAAGGCTCGGCTCAAAGAGACGTTTGAGCCGCCGTTTGAGCCGCCGAGAGCTGATTTCAGAGCACGCTCTGCACTCTTGAGGCTAAAGCAAGGTAAGCGTGATGTGCATGCTTACGCACAATATCTACGCTACCTTGCGAGTAGCGTCACGGAAAACCCTTTTGATGAGCACGCGCCCATCAACGTGTTCATCTACGGCTTTGTAGATGGACCGGTAAAGACCTACATGTTTCGAGAGGACTTCCATACGCTGGAAAAGGTGATAGCGTATGCGGAACAAGAGGTCATTATCCTGAGACAGTCCCAGGCTAACTCATCAACAATCGTCCGACAAGACGACAGGAAACAGTAGGTCCCGAACCAATGGACATCTGTTACATCTAGAGTGAGAACTCTCACTCTCTGAGTCACAAGCGAAAGGCAAGATGACATCGCTGTCAGAAGATCGGACACTACGCTCATGAGTGTAGAGTCCCAAGCACCGCATCACGTCCAAAGACAGGACGTGATGACCACCGTTGGCCAAGGAGAGGTTCAAGACGCGGGTCCGACCATGTCACTAAACCGCGACGCAAGTCGGACTGCCAAAAAAACGGTCAGGGTCAGTAGGGGCGGTGCACCCTGCTGAGCCAGCAACATTAAAACAAATTGCAGCACTCTTGAAGAAGATTGCCCCCAACACGCAGTCTCTGTGTGTTACTGTCCCTAGTGAAGAGGAGTCTCTCATCACTTTGAAGATCGAAGTGACAAGTAGAATGTTAAATCGTGCCCTAGGTGACTGTGGGGCATTAAACATTTTTATTCGACGCCAGTCGCTAACATAGTAGACTCAACTATGTTGAGCGAGAGATCCCTCCAACAAGGATGACGGTGTGCTTTGCTACATGCGCACGCGCAACAGTGAACAAACGTGTAGTGGGAATCCACTACACGCTAGAAGGAAAGCAGTACGATGGTGACTTCATCGTGTTAGATTTGGATGACAAATTTGATGTCATCCTCGGTCCGCCATGGCTTAGAAAGTACCAGCCATGGGTTAGCTGGCAGCATCGATCCGTGAAGATGCCTGCCGTTTGTTCATCGGATGGCCATCTGATGAACGTCTTGGAGCGTCCACAAGCGTGTGGATGTATTAAGATTGAGTGCGATGGCCTCACTTGTGGTACTGTCGTTAGTACGATTGCCCAAGATCGCAGCGTAGAAGGCCACTACACTGTGGAACCAGCTTCCGGCACCTGTGTAAAGACACAGGCTGCACCGAAGGCTCACCGCTCAAAAAGATCGAGTGGACTGGAACATGGGTGCACACCAAGAAGGGTACATCCAAGAAGAGAGATGAGTGTTGTTCAGGATGGACAACACGTTGAAGCGAGATCGATTAGCAGAGAGTCGATCGTAGAGCAAGCCCGCTTAACTGAAAGGGAGTCGATCAAAGAGGACGTGACCGTTATAGTACGCGTAACGGAAGAAAAATCCAGCGTTCCCGAGAGTGATAACTCCGAGAAAGTTATGTTGAGGGTGTGGATCCCCAACCACCTGCGGATGTGTTTTCCCAGGAAAGCACCGAGTCAGTGAATGTCTTGGTGAATGACGAATCAAATGTAGGCGCTTATAGACTTGATCTGGTTACACCCCCGAAATCAGCTTTGAAGGTAAGTTGCAACGCTGGAATCTAAAAAGATTCTTGCGAGATCTGCGTAGTGACGAGATCAAGCAGATCTGCGTACTCGTCACAGAGGACGATTACGTCGCCGATATTCGGTCGGCACAAGTGTTTACTGAGAACTAACGGGTTCAAACTAGCTCATCGATGGATGAGAGTGTCCTCGTTTAAGAAACCGGATTGAGCGGTACCTGTCTCAATCTTGGGAGTCTTTGAAGACAAATCCTTTGTTTAAGGATTTGGTTAAATTCAGGGATGTTTTCCCGGAATCCATACCATGCGAGCTGCCTAAGCACAAAGGCACTTGATATGAGATCGAAATGAAACCTGGTTCGAAATACTGTGTCATGAAGCAGTAGCCACTGCCTCTTGAACAGGTCACAGCGATCGACAGATTCTTTGCCGATCGTTTAGCGGCTGGTCATGTGAGGTAATCAACATCCCCACACAGCTCTCCGACTATCTGTGTGCGAAAGGCCACAGGAGGGTGGCGGATAGTGCACGCGTTCAACAAACTGAACGCTGCAACGGTACCGGATCAAACACCGATCCCAAGAAAGGACGTCATCATAGATGGTATGGCAAAAGAGTACCAACTTTTCGTCCATGGATTTGATGGATGAAATCTATCAGATCCTCATGCGTGAATGGGACATCCCGTAAACAGCAGTGAGTACCCCCAGCGGAATTCTCTGGGAGTGGCTAGTAATTACATAGGGGCTAAGTAACGCCCCCGCAACGTTTAACAGATGTGTTACGAACCTGTTGCGATTGGTGCACGATTCCGCACATAACTACTTCGACGATGGCTTCGTTAATAGACGGGCCGCGGATGGAAAGACGGACGTGGAGGTTCATAGAATCCACGTCCGGAAAGTTCTTACTCTAATGCGAGAGCATAAGTTGTTCGCTAGCCTCAAGAAGTGTATTTCGCAGCGAACGAAATACCACTTCTTGGCTGCACCGTGGGTAAAATAAGCGTACGCCCTGATCCGGAAAAGATCAAGGCGCTAAGAGACTGGCCTGTGCCAGTCGACGTCAAGGGACTTCGAAAGTTCCTTGGCTTGGCAGCGTACTTGCACAAATACTCGCGCAACTATGCCGAGA